AATTAATTAATTAATATTTATTTTTAGATACATATATAATTAATTAATTATATAATTTTATAATTAATTTTGAACTTATTTATTTATAATTTATTTCACGTCCTTTACTTTTTCTGAAATCCCAAATCCTTCCCAGAGCAGCACAGCTCCCACATATTCCCTCTGCATTATTTTTGCTGTCCTTTCTGCTCTTCCTGAATAATTGAGATGTGATTCCCTGTGCCTGCAGATCAATGGGCAGTGCAGCTGCTTCCAGAACATCGAGCTGCTGAAATCGCGCCCGGCCCACCTGGCCGTGCTGCTGCACCACGTGGTGTCCCAGTTCGATCCTGCAGCGCTGGTGAGAAGCTCTGCCGTTGTTCCCCTGCCTCACATTTTGGGGCATCTTCACCAGAATTTACCAGATTTGTGCAGCACTCACTGCAAGGGGGGAAATGCAGGCTCTGTGCACTGAAAAATCCTCATTTATCTCCTCAGATAAAGGGAGAAACACAAAGAGAATTGATTCATTTATATTTGGCTGCTTACAAATAATTATTTATCTCCTGAAAGTCTCTCATTCCACCCCAAGGTGTGGGATCAGTTGCCTACAGAGAAGCTTTGCCCTCTCTGTGCTCCTGTTCCAGCCCCTTCCATTTTAGATACAGAGAAACACAAAAATAACTGTGAAAATAACTGTTCCCTTTATGTTTGGCTGCTTACAAATAATATTTATCTTTCTCTTTATATTTGGCTGCTTACAAATAGTTATTTATCTCCTGCAAGCCTCTCATTCCACCCCAATGTGTGAGATCAGTTGTCCTCAGGGAAATTTTGCCCTCTCTGTGCTCCTCTTCCAGCCCCTTCCATTTTAGATACAGAGAGACACAAAAATAACTGTGAAAATAACTTTCCCTTCATATTTGACTGCTTACAAATCATTATTTATCTCCTGCAAACCCCTCATTCCACCCCAATGTGTGAGATCAGTTGTCTGCAGGGAAATTTTGCCCTCTCTGTTCTCCTCTTCCAGCCCCTTCCCTTTCAAATAAAGGGAGAAACACAAAAATAATATTTCCTTTTACATTTGACTGCTTACAAATCATTATTTATCTCCTGCAAACCCCTCATTCCACCCCAAAGTGTGAGATCAGCTGTCTGCAGGGAAATTTTGCCCTCTCTGTGCTCCTCTTCCAGTCCTTTCCCTCTCAGATAAAGGGAGAAGCACAAAAATAACTGTGAAAATAACTGTTCCCTTTACATTTGGCTGCTTACAAATAATTATTTATTTCCTGCAAGCCTCTCATTCCGCCCCAAACTGTGGGATCAGCTGTCTACAGAGAAGCTTTGCCCTCTCTGTGCTCCTCTCCCAGCCCCTTCCCTCTCTCCCCATTTCCAGGGCACCTCCCTGAGGAGCTGGGAAAGCTTTCCACCCAGCACTGCTGAATTCCTTCAGATCTGGAAAGAAATTTGCAGTTTTCATGGTTTTCACCTCATTTCTTGCCCTCCTGTCCCCCACAGCTGTGCTACCTTTACACAGACCTGTACAAACAGACCAACTCCAAAGAGACCCGCCGTGTTTTCCTGGAGTTTTACCAGTTTTTCCTGGACAGAGCTGCAGTAGGTTCCTTTTGTTTTCCTCATTTTTGCCCATTCACCAAGTTGACTTTTACCTTTCTTCACTCACCTGAGCTGTGAAAAACTAAGCCCTCCAAAAGAAACAGTTTTAAAAATCAAAATCGGAATAATTAATAAATAACTTCATAAAATGTAAAAATGTAATAAAAATTTGGAGTATTTTTGTTACCAGGGAATGAACAGCCTCAGGTGCCTGGTAACAAATAAATCCCAGGGGATTTGTTGTTGATAGGAGAAATAATTTAATTTAGCAAGTTCTGGCTCTTCTGAGTTGCTTTTTTAGTTAATAATTGCTGTGGGTATTGATGTGGCTGCTCCAAGCATTGGGAAATTTTATGTTTCTGTGGGAAAGCTGAGAAAATTCTTTGCTGTCATGAATTAAACTCCCAGAAACTGCAGCAGAGCTTTCTGTACCACATGTTCATTAAAATAATCCTGCGAATGATAAAATGATAAAATATTCATGGGAGTCTCCCCTTTCCAAACCAGCAATCAATGGTTTGCTCCGGTGCTCAGCTTGAATGATTTTGGCATTTTAGGGAATTTCTTGGAGTGGTTTGTGTGGTTTTTTTGGGGTGCTGGTTTCTCTGTAGTTTCTCCCATCCTTTCTTTCCTTTTGCAGAACCTGAAAGTCCCAGTTCCAGAGGAAATCTCCTTGGAATTAGGTAGGGTGGGAATGAAGGGCAGAGGGTGGGTTAATTCATTAATTAATGACTTAATTGAAGTTATTTATTGGAGGTGGGGCTGTTCCCAGAGGAATAATTGATGAATTTTCTGCCTCCCAGACAGGAGAAGGCCAGAGCTCCTCCCTGAGGAGCTGCACCGCCAGTTCATCCAGACCATGCAGGATAAAGTCTGCCCAGAGGTTCAGAGGAACCTGGAAGATTTCAGGTACCAAAAACTCTCTGTGGAGCTTCCTTTCCATTCACATCTGATTTCAGTCAGCATTCCAGCACAGGGAAACCTGAGGGAGATAAAATTCCTCTTGGATTGGATAGGAACATACCAACAATACACCCTGTGGCCAATCCTTAAATCAAATCATCAGCTGCAATCCTAGAGCTTGGATCCTTCATTCCTGGAAGCTGTGGGAGGAAATATCAGAGTATTTTTTCTTAGGTTTTCTTGTATAAATCTCTCTCACTGATTGTGTTTATAATCAGCTTATATATATTTTTTTTTTTGCCTGTCCCTATTTTCCTTTGGGCCGGGAATAATCTCCTTTACAGAGCTCAAGCTGGGCCAAGGGAAATTTAGGATATTAGGAAAAAGTTTTTTTTGCAGAAAGAAAAAAACAGATAAAGAGTGTTCTTCCCAGAGAGATGATGGAGTCCCCATGCCTGGGTGTGTTTTACAAAGCCTGGATGTGGCTCTGGGTGCCAGGGTTGAGTTGAGGGGTTGGGGCTGGGTTGGACTGGATGATCTTGAAGGTCTCTTCCAACACAGTGACTCTGTGATTCTGGGAATTTGGAGGAATTTTGGGAATTCTCAGGGACCAGGAAGGTGCTGGAGTCCCCATGCCTGGGTGTGTTTGACAAAGCCTGGATGTGGCACTGAGTGCCAGGGTTTGGGTGAGGTGCTGGGGCTGGGTTGGATTTGATGATGTTTGAGGTCTCTTCCAACCCAATGATTCTGTGAATTTTGGGAATTTGAGGAAATTTTGGGAATTCTCAGGGACCAGGATGGTGCTGGAGTCACCATCCCTGGGTGTGTTTAACAAAGCCTGGATGTGGCACTGGGTGCCAGGGTTGAGTTGAGGGGTTGAGGCTGGGTTGGATCTTCCAACCCAATGATTCTGTGAATTCTGGGAATTTGGGGAAGTTTTGGGAATTCTCAGAGAGCAGGGAGGTGATGGAGTCCCCATCCCTGGGTGTGTTTTGCAAAGCCTGGATGTGGCACTGGGTGCCAGGGTTCAGGTGAAGTGCTGGGGTTGGGTTTGATGATCTTGAAGGTCTCTTCCAACCTGGTGATTCTGTGAGTTCCGTGAGTTAATTCTGTGAATTCTGTGAGCTCTGTGAATTCTGTGAGCTCTCACAGTCATGGAGTAGTTGTTGATAATTAATTATCTTTCTCCTGTGGAGTGCTAAGAGCTCCATGCCAAGCTCAGCCATGAATTTCCCATCCCTAAAAACCTCACGTAGATCCTTCAAACACCCCCAAAACCCTTCTGTGCCACACCCTGAGCGATGCCCAGCTGCAGGAGGTGCTCCCTGTGCCCTGTTGCAGGCAGAAGAGGAGCATGGGGCTGACCCTGGCCGAGGGGGAGCTGAGCAGGCTGGACGCAGAGCGGCTCCGCGACCGCAACGCCGTGGAGAGGGAGAGGAGCTGTGCCGAGCAGATCCTGGCCAAAATCGAGGAGGTCCTGTAAGTGACACCAAACAGGACAATGTGGAGAATAAAAATAACCTTAAAGGTGCTGGGAAAAGCGGGNCGGTGTGAGTTGTGTCTGTGGAGTGAGGGGAATCAATGACTGTGGCAATGTCCCCGTGTGTGTGTGTGTGACCTGTGCCTGTCCCTGTGTCCCCACAGCGGGCTCCTATGTAGCTCTCACTGTCCAGGGGCGCCCTCCAGGGTCGCCCCAGATCCCCCTGGCGGATTCTGACGTGGACCTGGCAGCTTTTGGGCATATGTCTCCCATCATGGCATCCCCCCACTCGCCTGGCACGTCAGGGAATGCAGAGAGGATCACCAGCCCGGTGCTCATGGGGGTAAGGTGGACAAATGGACTCGGGGGGGTCTGGATTGAATTTATTGGTTTTTTTTGCACTTAAAATTGGCAAACTGGGATATTTCCCAGCCCAGTGTTGGAGCTCCCCTGTCCCAGGTGGGGACTCAGATCATTGGAGCAAAGAATGATGATTTTGACACAGAACAGGAGCAGGTGGGAATGACTTTTAGTCTTTTTTCCCTCCACCAAGCAGAATTCTCTACCCCTGTTCCTAAACTGCTGAGTGCTCCTTGTATGGTGAAATAACAATTTGGCAATGGGATTCCTGTTGTCCTGCCTGTGGGTATCTATTCACTTAGGAAAATGCAAGTAAAAAATTGCAGTTCTATCTGAGATTTTGCAGTTCTAGCTGAGATCTGAAAAGTTGCAAGTAAAAATATGCAGTTCTATCTGAAATAATAGAAATACAGGTTTTTACACTGTTATAGCTGTTCAAAATTAAGAAAGGATACACAGGATAGGGTTGGAAATTTGGAGCAGAGGATGATGATTTTGACACAGAGCAGGAGCAGGTGGGAATGGCTTTTAGTCTTTTTTCCCTTCACCAAGCAGAATTCTCTTCCCCTGTTCCTAAACTGGAACAGGGGAGCTGAGTGCTGCTTGTATGGTGAAATAAGAATTTGGCAATGGGATTCCTGTTGTCCTGTCTGTGAGTATTTATTCACTTAGGAAAATGCAAGTAAAAAATTACAGTTCTATCTGAGATCAGCAGTTCTAGCTGAGATCTGAAAAATTGCCAGTAAAAATATGCAGTTCTATCTGAGATAATAGAAATGCACTTTTTATACTCTTATAGCTGTTCAAAATTAGGAAAGAATGCACTGAAGAGGGTTGGAAATTGGAATTGCTTCTCACAGAGATTTTCAGAGCCTGTTTGTAGGAAGTGGGTGAAAAATGTGCATGTCCATTTTGCTTTTCTGCCCAACAAACCCAACCTTAATCTCTGTGTACTTCTAGGAGGAGAATAACATTGTCCACAACCAGAAGGTGGAGATTCTGAGGAAGATGCTCCAGAAGGAGCAGGAGAGGCTGCAGGTACTGGATTTGTGCAGGCTGGGGGAAGTGATGCAAAGAGGAGTTGTTAATTTAATTCATTATTATCAGAGTAAACCAGACTTCATTTATTATCTGTTATTTGTTAATTTTATTATTATTAATTTATTGACAGAGTAAAACAGACTTTGTGTGGCAGCTCTTTGGGTGTGCAGGTGTTGATTTAAAGGACACAAACAATTCCTTTGCAGGACCTGCAGGAGGAGTACAGCCGGACCCCTTCCACCCGCCTGCTGAAGGAGATCCAGGAGGCCAAGAAACACATTCCTCAGCTGCAGGAGCAGCTCTCCAAGGCCACGGGCTGCACCCAGGTAATTTGGGCTCAGCCTGCTCTGGGGAGNAAAAGGAAAGGAAAAAGGAAATTTCAAGGAAAGGAAATTTCAAGGAAAGGAAATTTCAAGGAAATTTCAAGGAAAGGAAAGGAAAGGAAAGGAAAACGAAAGGAAAACGAAAGGAAAACTGTGGAGGGAATGGAAGGGGGAGGCTCAGGATGGAATGGAAGGCTCAGGAGAGAAGGGGAAGCTGTTTTTTGCAGGAGGCTGCTGTGGAATATTGCAGGCAATGCTGCCATTGTCAGCTGTGCATTATTAGATCAGAGTCCTTTTCCTGCAGAAACAACAGCTTCACAACCTATTTTCCCCTTTTTAATGTGGGCTGAATCTAATTTCCACAGCTGTACCTTCACTTTTGATTCTTGATTTTATTTTTTTCCCCCTGCTGGGATTGCTGAACATTCCAAAGGACGCTTCAACACAACTAGTGATGCTCTGGGTGGATGGGACCGGGTGTTAATTGGGTTTTGAGCTTCATTTTAAAAGCCTTTCTTGTTTTTAGGATGACATCTCAGCCTCTGGAGGAAGACAAGAGGTAATGGGAGCTGGGGAGCTCGGGCTGTGTGTGCAGATGGAGCACGACAGCCCTCTCCTGGCTGTTCTGCAAACTCCTGAATCCCCGGGCACAAACCATTGAAATTCAGAGCACCAGCCTCTCCTTTGCTGATGTTTGCTGCCTGTGTTTCACATCTTAAAAATTACTGTCACTGAGAGTTTGTGTTTATTTTTGTTTTGTGTTGTAACTGCTTCCATCTGCTCTAACATTTATTTTCTGGGTGTGCCTTGTCCTGTTCAGTTTTTATCTGAGCAGCTTTTCCTCCTTTTTGCAGTCACCTTTTACTGTTATTTCTACCATAACTCAAAGCTGTAATGTGACATCAAATATGGTTTTAGTGTAGAATTTTAGGACCTTCTGTGTAATTCTCAAAATTGTATTTTCACCTCCTGGGCTTCTGTGCCTTTTATCATGGAATGATTTGGGTTGGGAGAGACCTTAAAGATGAATTAATTCCAACCTCAGCCATGGGTAGGGACAACTTCCACTATCCCAGGTGATCCAACCTGGCTTTGGGCACTTCCAGGGATCCAGGAGCTTCTCTGGGCACCCTGTGCTAGGGCCTGCCTTATCATATATTCCATCTTTATTTACTCCATAATTAAAAAAAAAAAACCACAAAACCCAAAAAACCCTATAAATAATAAAAATAATAATAAATAAGAATAACAGAAATAAAAATAAAAAGTAAAAATAAAGAATAAATAAAAATATTTTTAAATTAAAAAGTATAAATTCTGCTGTTGGCCAAGCCTTCCCATTACCTGTGGGAATTTATTTCCCTTCATTTCATCACTTTAATATAAAAATGAACTTCTCGAGAGAACCTTGACCTTAATATTATTGACTCAATGTATTTTCCCAGTATTTTCCTCTTCAAGCTCCCTGTTTTTCTCTGTGTTTGGCAGCTCCACGATGCAATATGTGATCCTCACCTACATGAAACACCTGGGAGTGAAAGTGAAAGAGCCTCGGAACCTGGAGCAGAAACGGGGCAGGATTGGGTTCCTGCCAAAGATCAAGGTACTGCTGCCATGGCCACCCCACAGAGGATTTGTGTGCAATTCAAACCCCAGTTTTGCAGGAAAACAATTTAAAAAAATTAAAAATGGGTGTGATTTGTGTGTTTCAAGAGGATCTGGGGTTGCTGAGCTGCGCAGCAAACCTAAGGGCTGAAATTGGGTTCTGCAGCTGTTGGTAGAGGAGTGAGTTGGAAATAATTGGAATTATTTGTTTTATCTCTAGCCCTGATTCACCTTGGTTTTGGCTGTTATTAAAACTTTGGGTGAGGAATATTTCATCCAACACAACCTTGAACCACAGGAGGCTCTCATTAAAGCTGTTGCCTTGTTTACTTCACTTTTTCCTGGAGAATTTTACCCAAACCCTCCTGGTTGGTGATGCAGGAGAGCTCTTCTCTTTTCCACCCCCACTTCTCCAATTATATAATGAATATTTCCACCAAAACTTCATCCCTGTGGGTGTGATCCCTTGTCTCCCCCAGCATGGGGGTGTATCTGGTCACAGCAGCTGCTTATTTTCATCAGCATTTCAGCTTCCTTTGAAACACTGAGAGAATTTCAAGCAGTTCTGCACTAACCCAAAAGGTGAAACAGTGTGAAACCCTTTTGAAGCTTTGTGTCCTCTCCCTTAAAGAACTAATTAAAACCTCAGTCAACAGCTGGATTTGGAGCAGCGAGCCATGAGTTTGCTTTTCTTTTCTTTTTTTTTTTTTTTTCTGCAGCAAAGCATCAAGAAAGAGAAAGAAGGAGAGGAGAAAGGGAAGAGGAGAGGCTTCCCCAACATCCTGGGGCCCCCAAGGCGACCGAGCAGACACGACAGCAGTGCCAGTGCGTCACCCCTGTGCCCTGAGAGCCACAGGAAATCCCTGCTGCCTTTTTTTGGGAAATCCCTATTTCCCCCCTAAACCTCATCCCACCCATCCTGCCCCACTCAATCCCAGTCCTCACAATTTGGACCCCGCTCGTGTCAATTCCCTTCCAGCCCTGTCTCACCCTGAGGGGCTGTGGGATGGAATTTTGGCCTGGGATTGAGGCATTTTGGGATGGGACTGAGGGATTTTTCAGCAGGATTGAGTGATTTTCATTAAGATGGGACTGAGGGATTTTTCAGCAGGATTGAGTGATTTTCATTAAGATTGAGTGGTTTTCAGGAGAATTGAGTGATTTTCATTAAGATTGAGTGGTTTTCGGGAGAATTGAGTGATTTGCAGTAGAATTGAGTGATTGTCATTAGAACTGAGTGATTTTCAGCAGGATTGAGTGATTTTTCAGTAAGATTGAATGATTTTCAGCAGGATTGAGTGATTTTCATTAAGATTGAGTGATTTTCAGTAGAATCGAATGATTTTCATTAGAATTGAGTGGTTTTTGTTAGGACTGAATGATTTTCAGTAGGATTGTGTGATTTTTCAACAGGACTGAGTAATTTTCATTAGAATTGAATGATTTTCAGTAGGATTGAATGATTTCCAGTAGAACTGAATGATTTTCAGTAAGATTGAGTGATTTTCAGTAGGATTGAGTGATTTTCATTAGAATTGAGTGATTTTCAGTAGAATCGAATTATTTTCAGTAAGATTGAGTGATTTTCAGCAGGATTGAGTGATTTTCAGCAGGACTGAGTGATTTTTCAGTAAGATTGAGTGATTTTCAGCAAGACAGAGTGATTTTCATTAGAATTGAGTGGTTTTTGTTACGACTGAGTGATTTTCAGTGGAATTGAGTGATTTTCGGTAGGACTGAATGATTTTCAGTAGGATTGTGTGATTTTCAGTAAGATCAAGTGATTTTCTCTAGAAGTGAGTGATTTTCAGTAGGACTGAGTGATTTTCATCAGGACTGAGTGATTTTTCAGTAAGATTGAATGATTTTCAGTAAGATTGAGTGATTTTCAGCAGGATTGAGTGATTTTCAGTAGAATTGAATGATTTTCAGTAGGATTGAATGATTTTCAGTAGAATTGATTAATTTTCAGTAAGATTGAGTGACTTTCAGCAGAATTGAGTGATTTTCAGTAGAATTGATTGATTTTCCGTAAGATTGAGTGATTTTCAGCAGGATTGAGTGATTTCCAGTAGGACTGAATGATTTCCAGTAGAATTGAGTGATTTTCAGTAGAATTGATTGATTTTCCATAAGATTGAGTGACTTTCAGCAGGATTGAGTGATTTTCATTAGAATTGAGTGATTTTTCATTATGATCAAATGATTTTCAGTAGAATTGAGTGATTTTTCAGCAGGATCAAATGATTTCCAGCAGAATTGAGTGCATTTAAACTTCTCCTTGTCAAACCCCAGCCTCGAAGGCGCCCAAACCCTTTTGGCCCCGCGCTGCCGCCTCTCTCCTCCGTGCCGGGGCGTTCTCAGCAGGGGCTGACGG